GGGGGGGGGCAGGTTGTGCATGCTTTTATTAGAGTGGCTCCAAGAGCCACTCTGATTAAAGCACCCGTAACGTCATGTGTATCAGTGCCCCCATGCTGAAAAACGGCGGCGAGGGCACTTTAACTAAAGCTTGTTGAATGAGCTTTAGTTAAATTGCCCCCACCACCATTTTTTAGTGTGGGAACGCTGATGCACGTGACACTGGATTCTGCTGGAGTGCATCGCTGCACATATATAGGTGCCCTTAGATGCTATACATGTAAAAGGACAATGTACCTTGTTATGGCTCCAGAGGTGGGAGTTCAGGCCTTGCTTTAGGCTTCAGCCAAAGCTTGTCCCCAGTTATCTGTAAATGGGCACCTGCTCCTTTAGCATGAGGAGCCAAAAGCATCTGGATGTGATATGGGACACCTCACTCTCTTGTGTGTCACTGGCTATAGAACATGGTGTGCCTTGACCCTTTGTCCTTCTGGGGTGGGTTATTAGGCTTGGACAGACCTACCTACCCACAAGAGAGGGGAAGTTGAACATAGCACCGCACACAGCAGCCACTGAGCACAAGCCACTTCACAGGCCGAGCTTCAAAATCAGTTCCTTCTCCTGAAGCTCCATGGGAAGTCTAGAGAGGCCAGATGGAATGACCCTGGTGATTGAGACTGACAACTTGAGCAGAAAATTGTTGGGGAGATGATTTTACTGGCCCCAAAGGCCCTGAATTTCTGTTTCAGGACTCATCTAACAAAGACTAAACCTCTAGCACCAAAATGAAGTGTGCTGCTACCTCTCTTCCTGCAGCACCTTGACTTTTCTCTAACGGTCACTTATCCAAGTTCTGGTTTGTCTGCCTAACTTAAGACTTTGATTTAGTTTAGAGCACTGCTGTGTGCAGGAAACCTGTATCCAGGTCAAAAAGATGGGTCAGCGGTTGACATGAAAGTACCTTATGTATAAGGAGTTAACATAACTCAGCCTAATCACTTTCAATGCGTGTGTCTTGCAGGTAATTGGCCTGGTTATGGCTTGGTTGTATTGGCAAAAGCTTAATGAGATTTACTCCAAGGAAGACACAGTCGACTTCAGGAGGCTTGAGGTGAGAGACTTCAGCTTCAACGCAGTGGACCTGACTGGTGCTGGCTGGTGTTGGTGCTTGCCCAGAGAAGGTGGCTATGTTCCCATCAATGTTGTGGATGATGAGGATGATGGAGATACTATCTGCCAAAGTAAAGTGTGAAACCGTTGGGTGCCAAAGCTGGTCTTAGATGGGTGGATCAGAGCACAGAATACTTGAAGATGATGGACTTAGGACGAGGAAATAGCCTCACTCCTCACAAAAAAGTTGGTGTGTGCTCAGAATCAGAGGAGAACTTAGTGGGGACTGGACAGTAACTTCATGTTGATAGATGGGAAAAAAGTGTTGCATTGAGCAGACCCTTCCTGGCTTACACACTCTGCCTCAGCACCCTCAAGTATTTGTCAATGTTTCCTTTTTACAAAATAAAGTTGACTTGTTTGTTTTGCTATTGGGTATGTCTGTGCAGATTCCACTGGTGGAAAACATGACTGCCATTAACAGAATTTGCTCTTTGTTGTTGTCCCGAGCTTCTTACAAGAGAAAGGATCCACGTTGCAAAGAAAGCTGCCTTGTAGCTCCCATCCTGTCCCACAAAAGGGTGTTGTGAATGCTCTTTCCTTATATGCACAACACTCGCTGATAGTATGGCTATAAAAATCTCACCTTTAATTTAACTTGTTCTCCTAATTTACTGCTAAGTGTCAAATCTACCCCCACTTTTCCACCACTGTGAAGGGATCATGATGCAATGGAACCAGTATGATTTGAATATAATATCGCTCCTGGAAATATGGGTGTGTGTGTGGGGGGGGGGGGGGG